GGTCCTTGAAAACCTCCAACAACTGGTCTCCTCAGGTCCTCGAAAACCTCCAACAGCTGGTCTCATCAAGTCCTCGAAAACCTCCAACAACTGGTCTCCTCAGGTCCTCGAAAACCTTCAACAACTGGTCTCCTCAGGTCCTCGAAAACCTCCAACAACTGGTCTCCTCAGGTCCTCGAAATCCTCCAACAACTTGTCTCCTCAGGTCCTCCAGAACCTCCAACAACTGGTCTCCTAAGGTCCTCCAGAACTTCCAACAACTGGTTTCCTCAGGTCCTGGAGATGTGTCACAGAGGAAATGGACCTGGAGTAACTTGAAACAGACATGATGATGTCATAAAATTCAAAATGATCTCATTTGTTCCTAGAAACACACGGTACAACTTCTCAGTATAAACTTTTACATGTTTACTTTTGTAAACTTGTAAACGTTGAGCTCTTGTTGTGAAGAAAACAAAAAGTTATGAAATCTGTAAATCGTTGCGTTCAGGTTTTTCTGACGTTCCACACAAACATCCCAACTCTTCCATCCTCATGTTTATGTCGTTTGTATTGTTGTTTTTTTGAGCTCATAATCCAGATGTTTTATTATTTTAATGTTTTTTAGTTTCAGATCACAGGACGAGGATGATCCGGATAAAGAAGAAGAACCTGGACAACATCCTGATTCGTTCTGTCTGAACGCTCCAGACCTGAAATCATTTTTTATATTTTCAGCTTTTTGCGCTCGTCACTCTGCGGCGCTGCCGTTTGTTGCACTTTGATTTTCTGAAACTCCAGATAGGACTAATCAGGTCAGCAGAGTTTCATTTACACTCGTCGGCTGGAGACGCATTTTGTGTTCCAGACAGTTCAGCTTTATCAGGGTTGCCAGATAAGAAATGATGAACTTGTGTACTGTTGCTTTAGAAATTTATTTTGACCCAAACTGTCATATGTGCTGAGTTCGGGTGTTTTAAGGTGAGGTGTATGTTGTGTTTGGAGGACATGTGCACACACATAAGAAGGGGGTAAAAACACATTAAGGTTTATCTGGCAACCCTGAGCTGGTTTCTGCTTCTTTTAGCTGTTTTCTGCCCGAGCTTGTTTCACATCAAACAGCTTTAAGATGACGATCAGTGGATCAGAGTCATCTCCATCACGCGACATTAGAAATTAAAATCTGGACATGAAATGTGCCCGGTGTGTGATCTGTTAGTGCTCGGACTATGTGTTGGGAATGATGAGTCAGTCATGGCAGCCATCTTCATTTGGAATGACTCCAAATTTAATAAGCTGCAAGTGTTATTACAATTTTTATCCATACTTTGGTTTGAGAGATATTTTACTAACAGACTGACTAATGTGCAGACACAGGATCGCCTGCCTTTCAGGGGATAAAAAAGCCAAAATTGACACAAAGAGCTGACACTCAGAATGGTTTAATGTCTTTCAGTAAATAATAAAAAGTAATGAATTGATTAATTTAAAGACTAAAGGTTGAATTAAAGTGAAACCAGCAAAAATCTGAAAAAAAAAAAACAGTTTTCTTGTTTATGGTTAGAAAAGAGACGTAAAAATACTTTTGTTTTAGTAACCTTAAGTTCTATTAAAGTTTGTTCAATGTTTTCTTAAGAACACAAAATGTATCTGAAATTTTCATCAAGCCTTGTTGCAACATGAAATTATTTCTCTTGAAAAACTGTTTATAGTGGTTTATATATATATATATATATATATATATATATATATACAAACTGATCTGAGGGTTCTGTGTTTGCTGTTTTTATTCAGTGAAATAAAAAAAAAATCCATAAAATGCCAGACATGCACTGAAAGTTTGAGTTGATTTAACGTGAAAAAAGTCATTTTTATTTCAATTTTAAATTCTGTCTGACAAAAAAAATTATAATAAATTGAAACCAGAAGTATTCTAACCATTTTTTTTTTACAAAACAAGAGGAAGAAATGCATTTTTAAGCTAATTTTAGACAGATTTGTCTTAAATTGGAGGGTTTTTGAGTAAAATTTTATATTTTTGCCACGTTTTATTGTGACTGAATTATTTTCACTTGAGTTTGATATAATGTACTTTTGGTTTTCTGGTATATTCGCATATTTTTCAGCTTTTTATTGCAGTTTATTATAAAAATCTGTTGCGTTGGTGCTTTTGTATTAAACTTGACGCTTTCCTGTGAATAATCTTTGATTTTTTTTTATTTTTATTTTTTTACTCAAACGCTTCAGATTGTCAGGGTGTTGCGGAGGACAAACACCAGGGGGCGCTGTTGCTTTAAGAAGCTCCCAGTTTCTGCTGCTCTTTGCTTTGGTGACTCATTTTGGAGGAAACATGTAAAAGTGTTTGGTATTAAATTTTCTGAAACACTTGTGCTGGTTCAGCTATTTTTATTTCTCGTTTGACCAGAGATGGAATGATGAAGTGTGTGAAACAAACAGAAAGAAAAAACTTAAATTCACACTTTTATATTGGGAATTGATTTATTTCAACTGATTTACTAAAATATTGGAATCATTTTGAAATAGCAGACAGTAATTTTCATCCTAAATGTGTAAAACTTAATTCTTATCACACATACACATTGTACATATATATGTATATA